TATCGCTATACTACACTTCTCTGCCCACTTCGACTTCGGGCACACTGCAGACCTCCTCGCACAAGACGCTGAGGCAGCGCTTCCGCATGGCTTCCGCAGGAATGAATGAATGGCTGGGCGCAGCCTCTTGATTTATACTTTTGTGCCTCGTTGGTCTGCCCTGCTTCCCTGGCCCACGGTGCACACAGTCCCAGACAGTACTTGCTTGACTGGACCGGACTGACTGGACTGGGACTGCTGACTCTGCGTGGTGGGCTTCCACCACTTGCCCACTGGCCTCTACCTAAACTGGGGCTGACTCCGAAAGGCCACTTCTAGAAACCTCTACTTTGGCCTTTCGGTACTGTAGCAGCTATGACTTTGACCCTTCGGACAGTCTACAGCTAAGACCTCTAGACTGCCTAGACTCCTACCCGACAGGTCTACAGTTCGAATCCCTTCTACCCTGTAACCTACGAGATCTTACCTACCACTGGCGGTCCTACAGGTCGCAGGTTCAAATCCACGGGTTGACACAGTTACTGTACACAGGTAAGGTGGGGAACTAGGGATCGAGCCCTGGGATCTGCATCAGCTACTGCGAAGTGGTGAATACCGTTTCACTCCCGCCGGCCTAAATTCGAGGTCCTCCGAGAAAATTTCAGTCCAAGGCAGGACCTTTACCTTTCTGTTGCCTCTCGTAGGCCCGGACTATATTGGGAGCTGTCTCTAGAAGTTCAGATCTCGTAAACCAGAGGTCGTCTTCCGGCTCTTGATAACTAAAATGAACCTTGTACTGTTTCTGTGGACGACCTCTACCTCCAGTCCTGAATACATCTTCAGCCACTATACCATCGATGTCATATCTTCCATCCATATCTGGTGGAATCATAGACCTACGGGATGGAAACTGATCACTTGTTTGACAAGGTAGCAACTTCGATGCATGGAAAACTGGGTAAGTGTGGAGGTGTGCTGGGATTTCTATGGTATACGACGGTCCATCTTCGTCGCCCTTGACTTCTAGAACCGGCCACGGTCCTCTATACGTAGGCAGTAACTTCTGCGAAATGTTCTCTTCAGGCGCAAACTCTTTAGACTGGACCCTGACCAAGTCGCCTACTTGGAACTGTGAAGGGCGACAGTGCTTGTTCGCCTGTTCGATCATGCGGTGCTGGGCCTTCCTGAGATTCTCAACAACAGTTGCTATCTCCTTCTCGTGCTGAATCGCAAACTCCCTCGTACCGGGCGGTAGCCTATGAATTTGATCCCGGTTAAGTCCCTCAAATGGTCTTCGTGGTCTAAAGGACTTATGGAGCTCATTGGGAGTGCGGCAGGTTGACAGGTGCAGACTGTTCTTGTATGCACTGGCTACCTTGGGAAGCATCTCATCCCAATTGAGTTGATCAGGTCTAATGTACATGCGCAGGACTTGCTGCAGGATCTTATTCATCTGTTCAGTCTGACCGTTCGTCTCTGGGTGACGGCCAGATGACATCAACAACTTGGATCCGTAGACTCGCATCAACTCCTGCCAGTTTAGACTCGTGAACCGGGTATCTCTATCGCTAACTATAGACAGCGGAACCCCGTGTTCACTGACCCAGTGATCAAAGAAATTTTGAATTACTAACTTTGTTCTGGCTTCTGACAGCAAGGGAACAAAAATAGCATACTTACTAAATTTGTCTATCACGACCATAACTTGGCTCTTGCCATGCCTACTATTAACGTCGGTGTCCATGAAATCAATGGACACTGAATCTCCCGGCTGATCAGGGATAGGTAAAGGTCTGAGAAGACCTAAAGGGGCACGCGTAGTTGACTTATTCCTCTCGCAGACTTTGCAATTGCGAACATACTCTATGCAGTCATTTTTCATTCCTGGCCAGGTGTACGCGTGCATCAGGTTGGCTAAGGTCTTTTGCCAACCAAAGTGTCCTTCGATGTCGTGACATTCCCCCAAGATCAGACTCTGGATCTCCTCACTGTTGGGGACGCACAAACGGTCTGCTACATTAGTCTTCTCAAACAACAACCCATCAGTAGTGCGGTAGTATGGCTCAGACTCTGGGGCTTCCTTAACTCTCTTAAGGAGCTCACTATAGATGGGGTCCTATGCGTACGCCTCTTTAACTTTCTGTTGTAGGTCTGATCCTATATCTAGGTAATGGACTATGGCCCCAAAGTAATCAGCTCTTCTACTCAGTGCGTCCGCAACTACGTTATACTTCCCTTTGACTGGCTTGAGCTCGAAGTCGTACTGGTCTATCTCTGCGGCCCACCTAGTAAGCTTAGGTGTCATCTTGGCTTGCGTCTTTAACCATCGCAATGTCTCGTGGTCAGAGTAGACTTTGAAGTGCCTCCCAAGCAAGTAATGCTTGCAGTGTTCTAATGCCTGCCTGAGAGTGTAGAGTTCCCTCTCATAGGTAGATGTCGCAACCTTCTTTGAAGGCATCCTAGCGGACATGAACTCTACGGGTCTATAACCATTGCCATCGTCTTGCTGCAATACCGCACCTATGCCGTACTGGCTAGCATCCGTAGTGACGACAAAGGGCAAGGACGGACCGGCTACCTTAAGGACTGGATATTCTATTAGTGCCTGCTTCAGTTTTTTCATAGCAGACGTGCAGTCCTTGTCCCACTTCCAGATGGTTTCCTTTCTCAGCAATCTGCGAAGAGGCGCAGCGATAGTGGAGAAGTTCCTCACGAACTTCCTATAATAGTTAGCTAAGCCCCAAAACGATCGCAACTCTGTCATCGTACGTGGAGTGGGCCAATCTCTAATCGCTGCGATTTTACAATCTTCTGGCTTAACGCCGTCTCCGTCTAAGACGTGGCCTAGATCGCCCAATCGTACTTCTTTGCGTTGATCTTGAAGTTAGCTTCTCTTAGCTTCTCCAAGACCCGCCTGAGATGACCCTGATTGGAGGGTCTTGCTAAACACTAAGATATGGCCTAAACAAATCGTTCATACAGCGCTGGAACGTGGCTGGCGCATTGGTTAGTCCAAAGGGCATCACTATAAACTCATAGTGCCCATACCTAGTCCGGAAAGCTGTCTTATACTGATCATCAGGATGCACCTCTATCTGATGGTATTCGGACTTCAAATCTATCTTGGAGAAGTACTTTGCCCCCTGCACTCGATCTAAAAGATCATCTATCCTAGGCAGTGGCTCAACATTCCTCACTGTAACAGCATTCAGACCCCTATAGTCTATACACATCCTCAACTCTCCCTCTTTCTTGGGAACAAAGAGAACAGGCGCTCCAAAAGGAGACGAACTGGGCCTAATCCAACCCTTCTCCAGGAGCTCGTCCAATTGCTTACGAAGCTCCTCTAACTCCCACGGGGACATCCTATACACGGCTCCTTTGGGAGTCCTACTGCCAGGCTCAATCTCAATGCGGTGCTGGATAGGCCGCGGTACTACTCCTGTCAGCGGCTCAGCTAGGTCCTTGAACTCCTCCAGCAGCTTGGCAATCGTAGGGTCTATAGGCTTCTCTCCCTTAGGCTCGGTTACTGGCCTTACATAGGCTACAAAAACCTGTTCTTCTAGGTGCTCCGTCTTCACGAGCCTCGCGAATGCAGGTGCACTAAGGCAGCAATGTGCCAAGGGATTCTCTACTCCGGACACATGGAACAGGCGGGCAGTCTTAGCCTCGCATGAAGGGCTAGGGAGCCTACACTCGTGCTCCTTCAAATGGAGTGTGGCCCCAGCTGCCTCTCCCCAATCCATTCCCAGAACGATATTGAATGGGAGGGTGTCTTCTACGAGGAGAGTCAGGGAGTGGAGGACCTTCTCCACTTTCCCATCCTTCTGTAGGCGGAAATACGCCTGGACTCCCTCTACGTAATCCTTGACGACCATAGTACGATTGTCTACGAGGATACTAACTATGGGGTCTGTTAGTTTCTGGACTTTAAGTCCCAGCTTCAACTTCTGCAGCGCTTTCCTACTGATATAGCTGCAGGTGGCCCAGGAATCTACTAGGGCCCCTACTCTACCTCTGAAAATCTCTGTACCTAGTTATATAAGCTGCCCTTTATTCTCCTTCTTCATCTTGGCCCAGGCGGGCATCCTCTCCTTCAATTCATCAGCCACGCCTGTCAGGGAGGTGTCTAGAGAGACTCTAACACAAGCAGTCTCTGGACAGCGATCTAGACACCGGCCTGCAACCTCTGCCATAGGCACATGTGGTGTGGGAGTCTCTTGCCGGCTAGCGCTATGTTCCCCACATGGCCTAATGGTAGGGGCAGTTGCTACCTCTACCGGCGGCTGCCTTTTGGCCCTTGAGCAGTCGTCCGGGTCTCTCTATACTTAGGACAGTATTTGATGATATGGCCCGGGTCACCGCAGAAAATGCACTGGCCCCGGTCCACACGCTGTTGCCATAAGCTCTGGTCCAGACCCAGACTTTTCCAAGGCCTACCTTGCGGTAGCCCTGGGTGCCATCCCCCTACCCTATAGGGAGACCTATTCCTAGGACGGTTTTGCGGGGGACCTTGACCCCTTCCTCCCGCTTGGCGGTTTCCTCCTCTGCCGCCAACCCCCTGATCGCCCTGAAACCGGCTCCCTGAGGCCCGGCCCCCTTGGCCCTGGCCTCGTCCTCCTCCTTGCGGCCTCCCTCCAGGCGTGACAGCAGCGTAAGTTCTCCCCTGGCTCACACCGCTGTCCTCCTCCTCTAACCCCTACTCAATCTGCTCGTAGGGGATCTCGTCCACACTACCTTCATCTAAGGTAAGGACAAGGCTATCCTTGGTCTTTACTTGCCCTGAGATAGTGTGGCCCTTCCATTGCTTTCCTTTGTCGAGGTCTGTGTGCCAGAAGGTAGAAAGTGACACCGATTTCGCCTCGAAAGCAACCACTTCACGGCTAAGGGAATCATAAGTGGTGGCAGGATCTTCACTCTTTGCGAAGAACTGCCCTCGAAAGGCTTCGGGCATAGCCCGGTAAAAGAGGTTGACCAACTGGCCCTCTGTGACCCCATGGTTAGGGACAGCCACCAATTCATCCATCGTACCCTTGAGTGCGCTGGCACTCTTCCATTTACGAGCGTGGATGGTTTGGAGCTTATCTGAGGCCTTGACACTGCGAGCGACATCAGCAAATCGCTCGCGCAGCAATTTCATGAGGGGGGTGAACGATGAGTAGGCCACTGCATCATTGTTGCAGTTGGCAGCGCGGACTAGGGAGCTTGCAAAACTAGCGGCCTCATCTCTAAGCGCATGAATGGCAATTAATACGTGCTGATCTAGGGAGACCTGTTGCAGATGCACATAGGTCTTGACGTTGGCCTCCCAATTGTCAAAGTTTTTTTCCCTTTTCCCACTGTAGGAATCGGGGAATTTAACTTTGACCGGCTCCCTACGAGGACGCGACTCTTCCTCCTTGGGGGCTGCCACCTTGACGCCTTCAATGGTGCCAACACAAAAACGCTCAGTCTTCTCAAGGCGATGATTCACCTCGGCTCCTACAGCTCCTACAACTCCTACCAATTCGCGAGCAAAGTCCCGAAAGCCCATCCGCATCGAACGCACAACTATATCCTGGCTTCGGCTAAACTCATATTGTTGTTCTTGCACTCTGGCTAAACGCTCGACGCTCTGGGCAATGATTTGTACCTTTTGTTGGAGGTCTACCTGGGTGGTCAACTGAGTAGTTAAAGTCCATACCTCCGCCAATTCCTGCATTGCTGCACTCGCCGCCTCCACTTTTCTTTTCTTCTCCCTCATCATTGCGAGTTTCCACACCATCCTCGTTTTATCTTCCATCGCCTGCCGCTTCATAACATCTTCTTCTGCCTCCCATTTCTTCATAGCGGCCCTCTTGCTCATCCTTGGGGATGTACATAGTTACCTCTTCTTCTTCGCCCAGGGATAAGTTGGCGACCCACTCCGAAATCCGTTTCTCCATCTCTTCATCCTTGTTGCCACTGTGCTGCCCCTTCCTCCTTTGCCGTGGCGTTTCATCTTCTTCTTCCTCTTCCATCCCTTTCAACCTCTCCTCTTCTTCCTTCTTCAACCTCTCTTTTTCTCTAGCCATCTCCTCCTCTATCTTCTTCAACTTTGCCGCCTGCTCCTCCTGCAGGGCCTTCTTCTTTACCTCCTTTTCCTTTCTCTCTTGCAGGATGGCGGCCATCTTCTCCTCCTCCTCCTTCGTGTAAGGTTGGGTGGAAGTGCCACCCCGGGTTCCTACTCTACACGTGAAAGTGGGCCAGAAGCCTAGAGGAAAGAGGAGGCGCCAAAGGGTCCCCCAGAGGGAGAACCCCACAAGTAACCCATACATCGGATAGTCATCCATGGTGGTGTCAGGTGCACGACAAAAGTCCCACTCCTCACCACGTAGACCTACCCGGACACTGACCCGTTGACTGACTGACTTTCTAAGGACCACAGGGTGAAACCCTGTCAACTATGGTCACTAGCCTAGACCTACTCTAAGGCTGTCACTACTGAACCAACAACTGATCTGGAGGCATTTAAGGAGATCCCCCAAACTCCGCAAAAATTCTTTAACGTCGCAGACAGGACGACGTGATTGGTTCCTGCCTGCGCTTTCAACCCACAACTCAGCCTTTCCGACCTACTGTGCCACACCGAGCAGCCCGACGGTCTGTACCGGTCCTTGGAGGGGTTCGTGTCCCCCGGGACAGTTGAGTCGTCAGACACAGATCATCAGCCTTACTTGGTCCAGTAGGGGGGTGGTTCAAACAGGCCCTCAACACTTAAAAACTGCCTGGTGTGTCAGCCCTGGCTGCCGTTCAGACCCACTGAGTCCTACCAACCGTTTCCAGCCGGTCAGCACCGGTCCTTGGGGGGGTTAGGCCCCCCTGGAAAGTTGGATCAGCCACAGTATCAGCCCTATAAGGTCAGCTCAGGGTTTTGTCATCCAAGCCTATCCTTCATCCACAGAGTGCTAGCACCTAGGACAGAAGAGACTCGATGCAGAAAGAAGAGACAAACAGACTCAGACTCAGCAAGTACCGTAGGGTGAGTGCACATCCACAGGGTAAGGGGATAGGCTAAGGGCTCAGCGAAATATCACCAACTCCTGCTTGGTCAAAACCTTGGTCAGCAGCTCCAGTCAATGCCTTGGTCAACGCTGAGTCAACGCTGAGTCAACGCTCGGTCAACCCTCTGGTCAACCCCCAGTCAACCCTCCGGTCAACGCCTGGTCAACCCTCTGGTCAACTCCTGGTCAACCCTCTGGTCAACGTCTGGTCAACCCTCTGGTGAACGCTCGGTCAACCCTCCAACTTGGCTATGGCTGCCGACACCTTCACCTTCGTCGCCCTCGTCTCTTCCTTCCCCTTCCTTTACCTTCTTCTTCCTCACTGTCTTTCTTCTTCTCTCTCTCTCTCTATATATATATATTTTTTTGTCACCTCGGCTATGTCTGTCTGCTTCTCCAATACCCCTTCCTCTATCTCTCTCCTCGGTCCCTCCTTCTCTGTCCCCTTTGTCACACCGTGATGCAGCTCCGCGGCTATGGCCGCTTTCTTCCTCCTTCGTGGGTCTGCGCAGCAACTTCACAGGTACGTAACAGCCAATCTTGTATCACTCACCTCTCTCTCTCTCTCTCTCTCGCCGTAGCGGTATCTTCAGCGCAGCAGGTGGTAACCCAATGTTGTATC